TACGTATGTATGCTTTTGAAAATAATTAAACAACACAGGCATCATCCATAAAAACAAAAACCTACCCACTCTTATCCATGCTCTCAGATCTTTCAAGCTCACTCCACTCTTAATCCATCACCCTTAATTCTAAATTCTGCAAACTTCCTTTTGTGGACACAGAAATGCTGTCTAAAGATTTGTTTCGTGCATATTTTATTCAAATAGACGGCAAGACACAAAGTATCATAAGGTTTGGTCACCTGAACATCAGTGCCTCAGGGCCTGTTCTTTTATCTTTTTCTTTGCTTAGTGCAGGGGTCCCTTGCCTTGCTCAGGCTACGTTCTCAGCCCTCATTTCACTTTTTATTTTTGAGACAAAGTCTCACTAATCGTATGGGTTAGCCTTGAGCTCACTCTGTAGTCTGGGAAGGCCTTGAGTTTATAATCCTCCTGCCTCAACCTCCGGAAAAGCTGGGATTACAACAGTTTACTGTCCCCTCTTCTGATAGCTTGTGTGGGCTCTGGACTGTGGCAGGGCTGGACTTTCTCCTGCTCTTTCCCTTCCCTCTGGGTAGCTAAGTTACCCTTACATAGGACCCTAGCTCCCAACCAAGAAGCCTCTCTAAGGGGACATTGTGGATGAGCTTCTTCTTTTTTTTTTTTTAAACTATTAACTTTTAGCTATTTTAAGTCACATGTGTTTATTGCATGTTTGGGTATGTGCACATGCATGTGCTTGTGTCAGCATCAGGCATATACAGGAGTCACTTGGCCCCTTGTACCATGTGAGTTTGGGAGATTAAACTTAAGGTGTCAGGCTTGGCAGTAAGGGCATTTACCCGCTAAGCCATCTCGCTGGCCCTGTGTGTGAGTGTTCTAAAGAGTGTTATGGCATCAGCACAGATGGCTCAGGTGCTGACCAGCTTTCTAAATGACACTGACGAGTGAGCTCACAGTCTGAGGACTCTCGATGACCATGTGGAGAAGGCCCTTTATAAAACAGGGAAACTGGGGACCAGGGAAGAGCCTCTACCTCAGACACACATCAAGTGAGCGAGCCAGGACTCATGCCCCATGCTTCGACTCTGTACCCTTCTCACCTGCCCCAGACTAGCTACTACCATACAGGACCCAGGAGCCTTCGTGTTCACTCTTTCCTCAGCCTAGGAAACCCACCCCACTGCTTCCTGGGAAACTGCTCATCCTTCCAATGCCCTTCCACCTTCCCTAACTTCCCCACAGGTTGCAATGGCTACAGTTTCTCCGCAGTCCCCTCAGGCTGGCCCTTCCCACACCCTGTCCTAATGTCCTGTGAGAGACTGCCTCACTGGCAGGAAATCTCAGGGGTCAGTCTGCTTCAAGTGCCCTTGCTGAAGGAGCCCCCGACACGTATGCATTCGTTTGTTCAAGAGCAGGCCTTGTGCTCTCAGAGAGAGCAGGACTGGGCTGGGTGATCAAAAAGGCAGGCAGCTTCAGGAGCAATGCCGCCTTAAGGGGCTGGGACTGTCCACTGCTCTAAGAAACCCCCCACCCACCATGTGCATTTCTACCGGTGCCTTGGTCCACCTCACCACTCCGGCCGGCCCTGTATGTCCCCTGCTTTACAGATGGCATCTTGTGGTCCCCAGTGTCTCGTCTCTAACCCACAAGCATTCCTTTCAGGCCAATGGATGCACCCAACAGAAGTAAGAGACAGGTGGCATGTGAGAGAGGGACAGCCACCTGCCGGGGGACCTGGAGGCACATTTCAAACCTCACTGCTGCTGCGCTCTGCACCTTGGGGAATTCACCTGACCTCAGTGACCCTCAGGTGGCTCATCGGAAACAAAATGGGCTTGGCTAACACAAGCTCTATTGAGGCAGTCCTTGCTCTATTGAGGCAGCTTTGTTTTCTGCTCTCACATGCTTACCCTGTGGGCCAACAAGCTCGGTGTCACTCCTAAGAGCGACAGAAGAGAAAGCACGAGCCAGCTGTGGGCTGGCTGTGGTGAGAGTGACAGAGGTGGTTCGGCAGGCTTGTCTCTTCATCTGAGCGCCTTCACATAACACCCCCTTTGGGAAAGCATGGGCCAAGCACGAGGGACTGGCCTCACATAGGAGTACCCTGTGCTTCACAAGCCCTGCATGCCCCCATCATCGCAGCTTCCAGAAGCCCTGGGATGCAGGAAGATGGATCTCAGGAAGGGGAAGGAACTTGCCTACGATTCCCCCTGAACTTCAGTCAGCTTCCAGACCCTAAGTTGTTTCTACCCAACTGTGAAAGCCATCATTGGAAGCAACAACCATGGATTCTAGAACCTTCCCTCTGAGCCAGCTGGCGTTGTCCTGTGCTAGTACTCCATGGGTCGTGTCACAGAATAGACTTCTTCAAACACACCATCCAAGGGGAAGTTAGGTAACTAGTTTCATTAAGTGACTCAGTTTCACCACAGATGTGAGAGGCTGGTACTATCCCAAAACACTAGGGAGGCTGCTGAGCAGCCCGGAAGTCCAAGTCCAGAAAGTGCCCTGGAAGCTCTGCTTCCCCCAAGAGTTAAGGCCGATGCCCTCCCACCAGCAAGAACCAAATCCTCTAGGTCCCAACACGGAAAGGCCCTCCTCTGAGGGCACCTGGCACTCCCCTCCACCATCTCCATGGGTAGGAAGACCCCAGGACTCACCTAAGGTCACACTGCAAAGGCCACGCTCTAACGGCACCTGGGCAGGTTGGCACCAGGGGTCTTCCCACACACACACTCCCAGAGAAAGAGCAAAGCTGGGCCAGGGGGTGTACTCTCTAAGCTGGGTAGGGAAGCTGGAAAGTCAGCCCGGGACTGTCATGCTCATGCGTGCTCAAAGATGCCAAGTACGGAAGAAACTGAGTCAGTCATTCAACAAATACTGACCTCCTGCTAAGTGTCCGTCATTCCTCAGCCTTCAGCCCCCTCCCTGCTCTCCTCCTGCCCTCAACTCCTCCCCTCCCCTACACACATACCCCGTGTGGCTCCTTTGCTGCCTCCCCCGCACCCCCAACTCCCGGTCCTCCATCCAAAAGGACAGGTGTCAGTATCACTGAGGAGTGATACCCTACACCAGAAGGGTAGAGCACAGTACAGCTCTTCAGAGGTTACCTGGTGTAGCCAAGGCAATGGGGTACATGTCTGTCTCTCAGAGGCCGCTGAGGTTCTGACACTGGCCTAGGGGGCTCATTCCCCCTCCCCCACCTCGGCCTCCACCTAGCCACGGCATGGAAAACCCAGCCGGCTCAGCTGACTTCCTCTTGTGTCATGGAAAGTGCGGGTGATAGGACAGGAAACTGTGGCCTGGGATCTGGGGTCCTGAGCGGGCACAGGACCTGGGGCCTGGAGGGATACAGTGGGGGCAGAACCACCATGGAGTGGGTGGGTGAGGAGGAGGCCAGGGCTGCGAGGGGACTGTGGACCCAGGAGTGGAGGGACCCCGCCACTAGGGTCCCCGCAGGTACATAGCCAGTAACTGAGGTAATACTTTCAGATTTCTGCAAAGGACGGACCACAGTGGAAGCCACCTCGTAGGTGACAGGCAAACTAAGTCTAAAGGCCGGGGTTTGAGTCGCCTGTAATAAAAAAGGCAGGCTGGAGGGTTGCGGAAGGGAACGTCAGTTTCCGTGTGTGTGTGTGTGTGTGTGTGTGTGTGTGTGTGTGTGTTTGCGGCACTCAGTGGGCAGTGAGGCTGAGCTCTTCCAGCTGCTCTCTGTAAACTGTGAGGGAACAGGCTGTGGGGGGGGGGGTTAAGAAATAGAAAGGGATGCTGGAGACACGGGTCAGCTGGTAGAGTGTTTGCCCTGTACACACCCAGCACCCATTCCCAGCACCCATCCCCAGCACTGCCAAAGGAGAAAAATAACAGAAACACTAAGTCATAGAGGTCCCCTGGTGGCTAGCAGGCAGGTGCCTCTCTCTCTCTCTCTCTCTCTCTCTCTCTCTCTTCATTTTTCAAGACATTCTGTGTAACAGACCTGGCTGTCCTGGAATTCACTTTATAGACTAGGCTGGCCTTGAACTCGCATAGATCCGCCTGCCTCTGCCTCCCAAGTGCTGGGTTTAAAGGCGTGCCCCACCACCCTGGCTGCATTTCTAGTTCTTGGATGGAGTAAATATTGTTGAATGAATAAATGAATACATGAATGAATCCAGATCTGTAGACCATACAACATGGAGATATCATACCTAACATGGAGATCACACACCCAAAATCATGGGGGTCTCACACCAACACGGAGATCTCAGTTTCTATCTCATACACACACACACACACACACACACACACACACACACACACACAGGCACACATATTGGTGCAAGTCCAACTCTGATGAAGACACTCTCTCCTTGCTATACTTGCCGGTAAAATATCACTCACGGACTTCTAGGCATGGCAGCTCACACTTCTAATTCTAGCATTTGTGAGGCTGAAATAGAAGGATTACCACAAATTCCAGGCTAGCCTGGGCTACCTAGCAAGACTTCCAGTTTGGTTCACCGTCAGAAGTTAGCAGGTCTTGCATTTTAGTTTTCTTCACTGATTCCTCAATAAGACCCAAGGTCTGCACCCTCTTCCCACCTCTCACAGCCCCACTCAGAATCCTCTAGAAGAAACTCCTGCCTCAGGCGCTTGCCCCGTCCGCCCTTTTTACCTCAGCTCAGCAATCCCCGGAGCAGGACACCCTCTCTTGAGTCCCCAGCCTCTCTCTGCCCCACAGTCCCATCCCACAAGGACACCCAGCTCTCTCCAAGCCCGAGCATGGCCAGTGGGCACCACCTCAGTTCTGAGCACCTCGTGCAGGAAGCTGACAGAGGCTCGGGCCGCCATTCAAATTGGGGCAGGTGGTTTCGCCAGGAGGAAGTTGACAGTTCAACTTCAAACACGGGTGGCAGTGACGCACCCACACCGCCTGCTTCCCTTGTTCCACCCCTGCCTATGCACCCTTCCTCCCAGAGAATCAGACACCGGGCCCAACACCCCTACTGCTGGCCGTCTGAGCTCACTGAGGCTGAACAGCAGAAGGCCACATACATGGACTCTCGCCAGGTGCTGCTGGTTGCGACGTACCTGCTGGGAACATTGGGTGAGTCTCAGGCCAGCTAATGCCAGGCAAAGTACCTGGGCACTCCAGGGTGCAGGAAGGGGAATCTCCATTCTTCCCAGGTCAGACTCTGGGCCCATGTGCAGTAGCGGGGAGATTTAGCGTCTTAGGGCCCAAGCCAGCAATCCATCCTCAGCTGGGCTCCGCCTGGACATTGCAGAGCCGGATTCTCTGTCTTCCTCAGCCTTGGGCTAGAATCAGGGCAATTAGCTCCCAACGCATGCTGCCACCTTCTGCAGCGCGCCACCCAGAAATGCCTGACCTTAACTTGGCTGCCTCCAGGAAGGTAGAAACCTGATGTTGAGGGTACTCCAGGTGGAGTAGGCTTCTGCAAATGGTCCCTCCATAAGGTTGCCGAAGAGCAGATGCCAAGCTCACAGAGTAGCCCTGGGTCAGTCCTAAAGGAGCCCCCAACTCCCGAGCCTTGTTCTAGACCCGAGACCCTGCTGGTGGGCCCTCAGTGACATCAGCAAAGGGGGTGCTTCTTGACTAGCCAGGGTCATGGGAGCTTTGCCTCTGGGAGTTATTCCTGGAGGTCCAAACCCTCAGCTCCGAATTTGATCATAAGATCTTCCCATCCACAGCATGTGGATGTGCCGGAGCAGGGGTATAAACTGGTGGGTTCTGACTCCTCAAGAGGTGTGGCAGGGTAAGGGCTGCTGGATGTCAGGTGTGACAGGAAGAGATGGCTTCCTATGTCACAGAGAAGGGTCTGAGGCCTCAGGTACTCACTATGCACCCACAACAGCTAGTGAGTGAGTGAGTGTGAGAATGTGGATGTGTGAGTTTGGGTGTGTGTGTGTGTATGTGCGCGCGCGCGCGCAGACACACATGGATGTGTGCATGTGTGAGGGGGAGGAGTGCATTTTGAAGGCGTGTATGTATGAGAACTGTGTGTGCTCTCTCCTGGACACTACATGCTTCTTCATTCATGTTACCGTGGCTTAGGAGATACATGCACACACCCTTTGTACATATGACAGCAGAAGGTACAAAGCGCCTGTATGACAAGCCTTGTTCACTTCCTGGGCCCCACCAGGACATTGCCGTGGCCCCGTCAGTCCTGAGAATCCCAGAAACCAAAACTTTATCTCTCCCCCCACCCCTGCCCAGCGCTCCCCTGAAGCCTCAGACGCACACACAGGGAGGCAAAACCCACCCAGGCTCCCCACTAGGTATGGAGTGGACTCCTGACAAGACTGGCAGGCAACTCAGCCCCCTTGGTACCCAGAGTCCAGAAGAGATGGAGGCAAACCTCCACCCCCAGTGGGGGCATCATGTGGAGGCCCAGGAGCACATGGTCCCTATGTGTTGTTAGAGCATATAGGTAGGATGCGATCCCATGGTCCTGGGGGACGAGGAGGGTAATGCTGACACTTTTATTTTTATTTTTATGGTCCTACGATTGAACCCAGGACCTCACACATGCTAGGCAAGCTATCACTGAGCTACAGCCAAGTTTTTATTTTAAAAAACGTTTTTAGACATTTATTTGTGTGTGTGTGTGTGTTGGTATGTGCACGCACACACATGTATGTCCTGTGCAGGCATGCCACTGGGTCCAAGGACAACTTGCAAGAGTCAGTTCTCTCCTTCTGCGGTGAGATGGAATTTAACTCATCTGTCTTGGCCGAGAACGCCTTTATTTATCTTTATGCGCTTAGGCACTGGCCCACAGACTTTTTAGGAAGGGTCTCCATATAATGATCAGCTGACCTCGACTACATCCCATAACCCAGGAGTCCCTTGAACTTGCAGCCCTTCTGCCTCAGTCTCCCCAGTAGCTGGAATTAAAGGCCTGTGCTACTAGGCCTGATTTCACGCAATCCTTTTAAAGCCAGTTTTGTTTTGTTTTGTTTTGTTTTTCTATAAGCTTCTGAATAGTACAGTCTCCCCCATTTCACAGTGAGGGAAAACGGAGACCCAAGAGTGGCAAGCCCGTGGTGGAACAGACGGTAAGCATCATAGAGAGCCTGGTCCAACACTTCCGCCTTTACACAGCCCCACTGCCTCCGTAGGAGCACTAGGTCCCCAAAGCCATTCTCACATGTCAGAACATGGCCGTGGAAGAAGCCTCCTACAGTCATCAAGGCACAGGGCTGGGGATACCGCAGGGCCTGAGGAATGAAGGTGTGTTCAACCTGTCTGCGTTAGAGTGTCAGCCAGGGGGTCCCACACCGTAACCCTCTTACAATTTTTCTGACCCTCGCTCACTGAAGTGGGTTGGTGACATGGCTTAGACACTGCACAGCCCGCCTGACCCCACCACGGTGACTCCACAAAGCAATTTGAGTTCCACTCTGCCGCTTTTGCTGGCTTGGGCTTGGGCTGGCTTGCTAACCCTCAGTCTCCTCCACTGCAAGCAGAAAATAGTAACTGTACCCTGTGGATGTTAGTGGCGGTTAAACAAGTCGACTCACAGTAGGTCTAGCCTGCCTGTGGTGGACACAGTGCTCACTAGACATCAGGGCCATCCAGAAGCAAGGCAAGACAGGACAGAGCTGGAAGGGGTCCTACCAGATGTTCACTGCACCACAGGTGCTTTCCCCATTCCTCACACACAGGCTGTTCATTCATTCATTCACTTATCGACATTCATTCATCCATCCACCCACAAATTTGTCTTCAGTGTCTGCTAGATACTCAGCTCTTTACAGCAGCAGGAGCAGCAAGTGGGAGCCAAGGCAGACGTCCCAGGCCGTGGGCCTGCTGAACTCACAAGGAGACCTGACGGAAGTCTGGAAGTCAGCAGCTGGGCCCTCATGTGTCTGGAAGCGTAAGAACAGGCACAGGATTTTTTTTGAAGGGGATGATATTTCCCCTGTCACGCTGAGCCCCGAATGATGAGAAGAACCAGCTAGTCTGAGAAAGGAGGGAAGAGGTGCCTGGGTTGAGATGGCCACAGGGTAGAGGCCCTGGGGGAAAGATGGGCCTGAAAGGGCTTAGGTACATGCTGGCTGTGAGCTGCTGTCCCGGGATACACAGCCGAGGCTGTCTTTAGCTCTGAGCACAGAGGATCGGGTCAGATGGTCTCTCCATAGTGACGGGAACAAGAATTCAGCTGGAGCTGGCAGAGCTAGGAGCATCAGTCCTGTGTGTTTATGTGCACGTATGTGTGTGTGCAGTGTGTGTGCAGGGCAGGGTGGGGAGGATCTAACTTGCTTTCTTCTTAGTCACCCTTAGTGACAAGAACTTCTCTGGTCTTTGGTCTTCTCCTCCATCAAACAGGCTGGGCTGAGCTGGCCGTGGTAGTGATCCTAGAACTTGATAGGCTGAGACAGGAAAATCACATGTTCCAGGCCGGCCTGGGAGACACAACGAGTAACCTGGCTAAAAAAAAAAAAAAAAAAAAAAAAAAAAAAAAAAATCAACCCAACAAAACAGAATATCAGAAGCCTACAGCTGTGTTTCAAAGGATAGTGATGTTAGTTTCTGTGGATTCATCCAGACAGCAAGCATTAACTGAGTACCTACTATGTGCTAGGGATACGCAGAGAGCAAAGAGACAGGATCTCTGCCCTGGTGGGTCTGACCCAGTAATTAGAGTGTGTAGGAAGATAGACAAGAGACCAAGATAGTGAGTGTGGGTGTTAGAAGGTTTTGCGGGTTGGCAATAGATAAGGGTGGGCTGGGTGGGAATGGGAGCATGCTGTGCCCGCACAGGACAGGTCTTAGAAAAAGAGAAAATGTTCACGCTTAGGTGAGGGGAGTGAGCGAGCCCGCCGCTGGGTGAGCCTGGGCGATTTAGCAGAGGGGTCTGTGGCTCCACAGGTCCAAAGAAGGGAAGGAGAGAGAGCACCTGTGCGTAGAGCCTCCCTGAGGACTAACCACCCCACTTTGGGATGGGAGAACCACGCAGTGCAGATGGCTTTCCTCTGGCCTCTTCGGGACTACGGGTCCTCATCCAGATCTCTAGCCGGGCGTGCTCTGGAATTCAGATGTTTTTGTTCATTTTAAAGAACTAATCTATAGAGTGAGTTCCAGGACACCAGGGCTATACAGAGAAATCCTGTATGCTTCTCACACTCTGAGGTCCGGGAGCACCACTGGGTCACAGAACAGAACCCATTCCCACCTCTGCAGCGACACCTTGGCTATGGGGAACCCAGAGGAACCCCACACGCTGTGTCGGATGGTGGGTGTGAGGCACAGTGCTGCTCACCTCCAGCCATGTCTATGACCTTGGCCAAGTCATCATCCCCTCGGAACTTCGGTTTTCCCACCCGAATGTGTGGAGGCAAACACAGCCTGTTCATCCAGGGCTGTGATGGCAAGAACAGGCTGCTGTGAAGGAGGAGGGCTTGCACACCTGCAACTACAGCACTTGAGAGATGAAGGCAAGAGGGTCAAGGAGTTTTGGGGCCATCCTCTGAGACATAGTGAGTTCTAGGCTAACCTGGGTTACACAAGACCCTGTAGCGCAAAAAGAGGGGGGGAGGGAGGGAGAGAGGGAGGGAGGGAGGGAGAGAGGGAGGAAGGAAGGAAGGAAGGAAGGAAGGAAGGAAGGAAGGAAGGAAGGAAAGAAAGAAAGAAAGAAGGGGGAAAGGGAAGGAGAGGCAGTCAGGGGGCAAGGGAAGCACAAGCAAACAGCAGGAAACTGGAGTGGATTCTGTTAGGTGTGCCAGAACTCCAGGCAGAGAAGGAAATGTGTGTGGGAAATGTGTGTTGCCTCAGTCTGCCCCCACTGCCCGTTGAGCATGCTCTCTCCCAGGCTGCCCCTGTTGAGGGTGGAGGGGGAGGAGTACTGTTTGCACATTGCTCACAGCAAAAGGCCCTCGCCATAACCAAAGGTGGCAATGATATCCAGAGTCCTGGCTCTCTCTAACCTCTGTTTCCAGAAAGCTTTGACAGTTTCAAGCTAGGGACAGCTCCACTGCTAAGTGTTTTTTGGTTTTTTCAAAAAAAAAAATTTGAATTTTGGCTAGGCATAGTAGCACACACTTTTAATACTAGCACTCAGAAGGCAGAGACAGATCTCCGAGTTCAAGGCCAACCTAGTCTATAGAGTGAGTTCCAGGACAGCCAGGGCTATACAGAGAAATCCTGTCTCTAACAAAAAGAGAGAGAGAGAGAAAGAGAGAAAAAAAGAAAGAGAGAAAAAAGAGAGAAAGAGAGAAAAGAAAGAAAGAAAGAAAGAAAGAAAGAAAGAAAGAAAGAAAGAAAGAAAGAAAGAAAGAAAAAATATTAGAGTTTCTGGAACCTTCCAAGTTAGCCAATGCAGAGGAGATGTGGGGAGAAAACCTAGGGTCCTCCCCAAGCTGGCTGCCTCCTATGTAAACTGATGGCTGCAATTTGGGGAGATCCATGAACTGTCAGGATATCACTGTTTATAGAACAAAGAGGCCACCTGATTTCTAAGTTACATGAAAGTGATTGGAAGAGAGTCTCTGAAGAGCAAGATGGTGGCATCGCTTCATTTGAGGTGTCAGGTGAGAAATGGGTCTTTCTGAGAGAGGCTCACTAGTGAGGGACCTACCACAATAGCTACTATGGTTATCACCAATGTCCCAGGCCCTGCCTCTGACCCGATGGTGCCTACCAGATGCTAAGGCAGCCCTACCCAGCATGTCCAGGCTGCAACTGACAGGCAGGACCTCTGAGCAGGTCAAGGGCGGAAGCCTGAGTCTGGCTTTACCGCCAGCCGCCCCAAGTTAGGTTTTGTCCTTCTGAATATCCCTGTGAACAGCGACAGCCTGGCTACCAGTAAAGGGATCCATGGCAGAGGGCCATGAACGTTTCCAGCCATTCCAAAATCCACAAAACACTTAAAATTCCTGACAAACAGGTCTGGCACAAGGTGGCGACTTGAAGTCACGGGAGGCTAATTATAATCTGGATGTGTCCCATTCATTGTGGGATTGGGTGTGTTTCACTGAAGACAGCACCGTGTGCCTAAAGCCAGTCAGGGCTCAGGAGACACAGGGAGAAAGCAGGGACCCCCGGCTCTGGCAAATCAGAAGATAAAAAGTATTAGAGTGCTGGCTGAAGCCCTGGTGATGGAGACACAGCCCATAGCCTGGCTACTTGTTTTCCTAACTCTCATTCAGATTTGTTTTAAAAACAAAATAAAAGGAAGTCTTGAAAATTGTCCCCCAACCTCCCCTCCCCCCACATCAAAAAAAGAAAAAAATTAAAAAAAAAAATGTTAAGCACTGCCTGGAGCTAATAACTCACAGGTGGTTAAACATAGCCTGTGGGATGCAGCACCAAGAGCCACAGTGAGCATCCCAGGCATGGCGTACTCGGAGCAAGAGGGAGAGGATTCCCCCCAGCAGTGTCCTGCCATTCCTTCGACCCTTTCTAAGTCCTGTCGGGTTAGGCACATTCAAAAATTGGATTTCTATCAACGTGGAGACAGGGGTCTGGGCTAGGGACAGTGGCTTCTTTTGCCAAGATCTTTGCCTGGCCTTGCTCAGTGCAAGCCCTGCACTGTAGGAGTTTGGAGGTTGTTGGGCGGAGGAAGGAAAAGGCCTTGGATTCCTAGATGTTGTCCCAGGAGCTTGGAGGAGAGGTGTAGGTGGCAGAGAAGAAAATGGCGTAAAGCTTCTTCTTTGCACCATGTCCCTGCAGCCTCCAGGGTCTCCAAGCAGAGTCTTGGGTTGGGATTGGCTACAGGAGTTTCAGAAAGGACTCGGCAGGGGTGAGGTGTGGCTCCAGGGGAGGTCAAGGAGATGCTGAGCACACAGCCTGCAGGGCTTAGGGGTAGGAGGGTACCTGTGAGAAGCCGCAAAATGAATGAAACTGGGTTGTGGACCAAGAAAGCCTGACAGTAGCCCTGGACAGGCCAAGAAGCAGCACGCCATGAGTCTTGCTCTGCCAGACACTGGTGCTCATCAGAAACACAGGTTGGAGGTTATGCACGTTTAGGCTAAGAAGAGGAAGGTCACGAAACTGAATTTCGTGAGTAGCCAGCATCACACAGCTCTGTCTCCGTATGGTGCACTTGCTTTATCTTGGCCACTTGAAACAGGCAGGGATGATGGAGCATAGAACACAGCAGACAGCTTGGCCCAGTAGGGAGCGCAGAACCTCTGGTTGTACAAGCAAGATACTCACCTCTCTTGGTTTCCTCTATCAAACTGGGACCGAAGCAGTAATGTGTATCGAAAGGCATAGTGGAGAAAACTGAGAGATTTAAGCTAAAAATTCCCAGAAAACTGAAAACTAAAAATGCTGATGACAGTGATGGTGACGGTGGTGGTAGCAGTGATGAGGCGATGTGTGAACAGTGACAGTGGTGATGGTGACAGTAGGAACAGTGGTGATAAAGATGGTGGCGATGTCGACTGTGATATTGAGGATGGTGATGGTGATAGTCATGACAACGTGATGGTAATGATGGTGAGAGTGAAGGGGGTGACCGTGATGATGGTGGAGATGATGACAGTGAGGATAACGGCAGGAGGGATAGTGATGATGCTGACAGAGATGGAGGTGGTAGCAGTGAGAGTAACGGTGATTGCATTCTTGGTGACCATAGCGGTAGTTACAGCAGTGATGGTAATAGTGACGGTGATGGAGAGAGAAAAGGAAATACAGTTCATCTCAGGACCAAACAGGATGAGCCACACCCTGGAATGCAGAGCCACCCTCTCTCAACAAATCACTTTCCTTTTAAAATTTATTATCATTGGTGTGTGTGTGTGTGTGTGTGTGTGTGTGTGTGTGTGTGTGTGTGTG